TCAGCATTGGTGGTTTAGTGGTAGGATTCTCGCCTGCCACGCTGGAGACCCAGGTCCGATTCCCGGCCAATGCAATTCTGGTTTTGAGTTGCTACTCTTCCAGCTCTGGGTATCAGCCTTGCAGCAATCACACCCCACTAGGGCTGCAGTAAAAGCTTATCAGCATTGGTGGTTCAGTGGTAGAATTCTCACCGGCCAGACGGTAGACTTAGAGTAGATTCCCGGCTAATAAAAGTGTGGTTTTGTGTGGCTCCTTTTTTCGCTCCGGTTGACGGCCTTTTAGCACTCACACAACACAAAGCCAAAAAAATCGGTCAGCATACGTGGTTCAGTGGTAGAATTCTCGCCTGCCACGCGGGAGACCCGGGTCTGATTCCCGGCCAATGCAATTCTTCTTTTGTGTTGCTACTCTTCCAGCTCTGGGTAACAGCCTTGCAGCAATCACACCCCACTAGGGCTGCTGTATAAGCATATCAGCATTGGTGGTTCTGTGGTAGATTTCTTGCCTACCACACAGAAGACCCGGGTCTGATTCCCGGAATATGCACTTTCTATTTTGTGTTGCTACTCTTCCAGCTCTGGGTAACAGCCTTGCAGCAATCACACCCCACTAGGGCTGCAGTAAAAGCATATCAGCATTGGTGGTTCAGTGGTAGAATTCTTGCCTGCTACGCGGTAGAGTCGATTCCCGGCTAATACAAGTGAGGATTTGTGTGGCTACTCTTCCAGCTTATCAAGCAAGTTTTTATGCAGCGGATGCCCTTTCAGCCGCAACCCATGTCTGGAACACACACACACACACTAAAGACAATCTAGCCTATCCAATCCACCTGTACCGCATGTCTTTGGACTGTGAGGTAAATCGGAGCACACGGAGGAAACCCACGTGAATGCAGGGAGAACATGCAAACTCCACACAGAAACACCAACTGAACAGAGGCTCGAACCAGCGACCTTCTTGCTGTGAGGGGACAGCACTACCTACTGCGCCACTGCTTCGCCCAGCATAAAAATGTACATAAATAAATCACAATTTAAATGGACAAATAAATAGATATGTTTGAATTGTGTTTTTAAATGTCATTTAATTAAGCAATAAAACAATGCATTACAAATACATTTTAAATATATAGATAAATAGACACTTTTATTACTGTATTTTTATTTAATCCATGTTTTAAAGGCTGATTAACCAAACACTTTTCTCAAATTAAAAATAAATCAAGTTAAAAATGGCTCTGCTGTTATGAACTATTGTTTTCCTCTGTTAGGAAAAAAAAGACAGTTAACAGTTTTATCTAGATTAAATGACCCTGGTGATAAAGATTTTCTTGGAGATATAGAACAAAATGAACTTCGTATTTTGCCATCAGAGTTAGATTACTATTATACAGAAAAAGCTAAAGGAGCTTTACGATCTAGAGTGAAATGGATAGAGGAGGGGGAGAAAAATTCTTCATATATTTTTTTAATTTAGTAAAGCAAAGGCAAGCTTCAAAAACTATTAATAAACGTAGCATAAATAACAATGTAAGTGAAGAGAAAACTTTGATTGATGATTACATCTATTCATGTTATTATATGAATCAAAATTTAATGAGAGTGATTGTGACTTTTTCTTTTGCTTTTCAAAAGATAAAGTTTCTATTATAGATGACAGCTTCCGTGAAATGATGGAATCTGACATTGTTATCTCTGAACTTGATGTTGCTATTTCTCAAATGTTCAATGGAAAATCCCCAGGTACAGATGAAATCACAGTTGAGATTTATAAACATTTTTGGCCAGAGATGGGATTTTTAGTTTTTGAAGCACTTAAGGAATGTATAGAGAAAGAGAACTATCGACTTCTATGAAGCAGGGTTTAATCATTTAGTTCTAAAGCCAAGCAAAGGCCAATTATTTTTAGACAATTGGAGACCCATAACTCTTTTGTCCAATGATTTTAAATTGCTCTCTCATGTATTTGCCAATAGACTCAAAAAAGGTATAGGCGAGATAATTAATGAAACACAATCAGCTTTCATTAAAGTGAGAAGTATTCACAATCATATCAGACTGATGCTTGATATGCTCAATTATAGGTATTTAATTCCTCAGACAAGTTTATTTCTATTTATAGACTTTTTCAAGGCATTTGATACCCTTGAGCATTCTTTTTTGTCTTTAGAAAATCTTTAGAAACTTTTGGATTTGGTCCGAGCTTTTGTAGGGTAATTTCCATGTTCTATACTGATATATTCAGTAGTAAATCTCTAAAAATTCATGATCTCCTAGAGTTTACATCAAAAGAGGAATCCATCAAGGATGTGCCATCTCACCTTTTCTTTTTAATATAGCTGTTGAACTTATGTCATTATATTAAAAAAAATTCAGAGTACACTTTAGGTATTGATATACCTGGTAGGACTTTTAGTTTAAATCAGTTTGCTGATGACACTCTATTAATTCTTAAAAAAAGGGAGGTGCTCCCTTTAGCTCTTGTCAAAATTTCTGTTTCCTAAAGCTTCTGAATTTACCTTAAACCTAAGAAAATGTGGAATATGAACTATTCAGAATTGTACTTTAAGAGAATTAGAGTGCATTCTAGTAAAAGAAGAAGTTAAATACTTGGTAGTTACCATCACCAAAAATTCTGTTAATAGAGAATGTGCAAATTTTAATATTAAAATGGAAGGGATGGAAAAATCCCTAAATCATTGTCTAGCTAGAGACCTTTCCATATTAGGTAGAATTCTTTTGACTGGGGTTATCTAAAATGATATATTTAACTTATCCTTTATATGCTCCTCCCAAAATAGGTAAATCTATAAATTCAATATTATTTAAATTTATTTGGAAAAATAAATCACATTATTTACATAAGAATCATATGATCAAAGAGTATGAATATGGAGGTTTAAAAGCTATTAATTTTGAATGTCTTCATGGCACTTTTAGAGTTAAATGATTGAAAGAGTGTTTAGCTAAGCCTTATTCAATATTGTATCATATCCCAAATAATTTGTTTAAAAAAATGGTGGCCTTGAATTTGTATTAAGATATGATTATGATTGTTCAAAACTTCCTTTGACGCTGTCTAATTTTCATAAGCAAGCACTACTTTTTTGGAAAATTATATTTACCCATAATTTTTCTCTCATAAATCCACTCTTTGGAATAAAAGGGCTATAATTATTAACAGAAAATCACTGTTTAAAAGTGACTGGTACAATAAAGGCATTATATTTATTAATGATTTGTTAGACAAAAATTGACTGCTACTATCTCAAAACGGATTATTAAATAAATATAGAGTTAAAATCACAGATAAAGGTTATACTGAAATTTGCGAGGCTATACCTATTGCTTTGTTTAGGTTAATTCAAAGTAATTGTTTTGATCTCCCATTTATACTTATAACTTTTCTTCCATTTTTTAAAAATATCAAATGTTGATATTTTCGATGGTAAATGTAACATCAAGCTTATTTACAAACAATTTAAACGCTTATCATTGGTGATTTTAAGTGTCATTATCTAGGAGTTGTTAAACCCTTAGTAGAGGATAAAGCTTTTACCTTTTATCTTAAATATCCTGTAGCACCAAAGGTTAAGGAAACTCATTGCAGAATTGTGTTTAGGATATATCCTGTGAATTAGTTTATTCAAAAAAGATTTAACTTTGATGTTGATAGATATGCTCAAATCTTCCAGAAACACTCGATCACTAATTTTTTTCTTGTGAAATTACTTTTAAATTCTGGTTTGACATCCATCCTTGGCTTTCATTAAAGATGATTTCAGTCCCCCTTATCGTTTTAGAAGATTTTTTATTTTACAAAGCTGATTACATTGTTCTTTCTCTGATGTTGTGAACTTTATTTTACTAATGGGTAAATGTCATATTCATTGATGTAAGAGGAACAAGTGCAGACCCTCTTTTAGGTGTTTTCTTTCTGAGGTAGAGAAAGTGGCTCAAAGCTTCAAATACTTCAGAAATCAAAGTAAAATAACTGAAGCTCTCTGTACTTTATTTTTAAAATATTTATTGTCATAATGTTTTGTTATTCTTTTGATGTAGATCTTTTGTTGCAGTTGTAACAAATTAAATTTGTTTTATTTATTTTAATGGTAAATATGCCTTGCGATGTTGATTGTTCCCTGTTTTGTGATGTAAACTTTTTTGCAACAATAATAATAAAAAAACACTTAAACTTAGTGGATTAAACAAGTTTTTCAAAATTGTTTTAAAATGTTTGGATTAAAAGTTTTGATCAACTTCAAATACTGAATGTCGATGTATATGAAAGACAGCAGATATGTTGTGTAAAGTGGAAAACGAGAGAGAAATTTATCATGTCCTGACTGCAACAGTAAGTGGCCAAAAAAAAAAAAAAAACTGAACTAAAAAGACTTTTATTTTGGTGTGTTGTGTGACGTCATAAGGCTGCGCCGCTTCCGCGATGCAGTTCAACTTTAGGAAGGTTTGTTTCACAACTTTACACATATAAACCGATTGATTAAAGTTTCAGGTTTTTCTTCCAATATGACATACCTGCTGTTGACTATTATTTTAATTCTTTATACAACGAAGTACTATTTTAATCACAGTAATCGAGGGCTATTGTTTGAACAACAGAAATGTTTGTTTTAATGAAGGTTTTATTTATTTACTAGCATAATGTCATTCTAATATAAGTATACAATATTATATATATATATATATATATATATATATATATATATATATATATATATATATATATATATATATATATAAAATAAATGGAGAACTAGTTTTTATTTTATTAGGTCATTTGTTTGTGGCTATTGTTTCTTGCTCAGACTTACCTGATTTATTTTTGTCAATCACTCTCATATAAAGAAACTGTTGAAGCAAGTGTTGAAGAGAAGTTATTTTGTTTCTGTTCATTGTTTTGTTCATTTTAAACAGGATAAAGTGTCCAAACGCAGTGAAAAGCTCCTGCTGAAGCGACTGATCTCCACACTGTTATAAAGATGGCGTTTATTAAAGAGGAGAGTGAAGATGTGAAGATTGAAGAAACAATCACAGTCAAACAGGAAGATCTGCAGGAACAAACAGGTTAATTTTCATTCTCAAAACCAACTCAGTCATTTGATCTTCATTCAGATATATTTTAATAATAAGAATACTAAATTAAATCCATCTTGCAGCCCTGAGTGTGCTGCCTAGTTCTCCTAAATGCACACAAGCACGCATTGAAAGACATGAATCAGTTTCTTTCTTGTCACTTGTTCTCATGTCTTTTGTCATTATTTTATGTATTATTAGTCTCCCATTTTCTCTACCTTCTTAAGGTTATTGCTTTTCTTGTTCTCCTACTGTTTGTAAAGTGTCCTTGAGCACTAATGTCGTTTTAAAATTATTATTGAACGAATCCTTATATTTGCGCGTCACTATACAAATTTATCAGGACTTCGATAAAATGAAAATGGAAAGGATTGGAAGGACATTTGCTGTGCTCTATCATTGATAGGGAAAAGGAAACTCTTTGCTAGATTGACTTTGTATCCAGAAACATTTCCAAATTCTGAAATTATTGTAAAAACTTTTGGAATACATGTATCTGGATTCGACAGAAAAAGAAGATCATCCGCATATTATTATTGATATAGTCAGTCGACTGAGGTGGGCCGGACTAAGGCTTGAAATTCCAGAGCTAAAAAGGAGTCCCACTCCGGCCCTGTTCCCTTCTGCTTTACACATTTTAGAAAAACATTTTGTTGTAATTATGAATATATACAAATAAAAGTTCAATTTACAGCTTTCAAATCTGTCTTATTAATATGATCAAAATTACTTTTATGATCAATTATGTAAGAAAGTCTGAAAACTGGACTGACACGGTTTCAATTTACTATAACTTCTATGTTAAGCGGCTTTGACACAATTTACATTTTAAAAGCACTAGATAAATAAAGATGAATTGAATTGCATCTGCTTAAATGTGTACATGTTAATAGACCAAACAAAATATGATCTGATTTATTTTACATTTACCATGCATCAAAATTGCAGTGTGTGTAGCCAATGTTTCCAGTGTCTTTCCACTTTTCAGCTTTTGATGAGAGTTTTTAAGACTTAATGAAAACATGTTTTATTTATTTCAGACCTGATTGAAGAGAATGAGGGCAGTAAAGAGGAGGAACATCATGTTAAAATTAAGGAAAAAACTCATTTACAGACTGATGGTATTTTGAAAAGGGGAGACAAAAATAGTTTCACCTGCACTCAGTGTGGAAAGAGTTATGGAAGTAAAGGCTATCTTAAGATTCACATGAGGATCCACACTGGAGAGAAACTATTCACATGCCCTCAGTGTGGGAATAGTTTTGGAAGAAAAAGGGAACTTAAGATTCACAGGAGGATCCACACTGGAGAGAAACCATACACATGCACTCGGTGTGGAAAGTGTTTTAGCCAATCATCAAACTTAAATCAACACATGAGGATCCACACTGGAGAGAAACCATTCACATGCACTCAGTGTGGAAAGAGTTTCAGCCGATCATCACACCTTAATGAACACATGATGATTCATACCGGAGAGAAACCATTCACATGCACTCAGTGTGGAAAGAGTTTTGGAAGAAATTTAGATCTTAAGATTCACATGATGATTCACACTGGAGAGAACCCATTCAGATGCACGCACTGTGGGAAGAGTTTTAGCCAATCATCATCCCTTAATCAACACAAGAAGATCCACACTAGAGAGAACCCATTCACATGCACTCAGTGTGGGAAGAGTTTCAACCGATCATCATCCCTTAATAATCACAAGACGATCCACACTAGAGAGAAACCCTTTTCTTGCACCCAGTGTGGAAAGACCTTTAACTACTCATCACACCTTTATGAACACATGCGGATTCACACTGGAGAGAAACCATTTACATGCACTCAGTGTGGGAAGAATTTCAACCAATCATCAAACCTTAATCGACACATGAGGATCCACACTAGAGAGAACCCATTCACATGCACTCAGTGTGGGAAGAGTTTCATCTGCTCATCATCCCTTAATCTACACATTATGAGCCACACTGGAGAGAAACTTGCACTTAAGCAGCGGTCACAATGGACTTTTTCCCCCATGGATTTCCATTCATACGCACGGGAATGTGTCAGACCGGAAACCAAGTTTGTGTGTCAAGTTTCGCAGTTCACTGCATTGCAAAGTTCAAGCTTGGTGAACTCTGACCTGCAAAATCGCATCACTTGACTGTGTGAGACCAATCAAAGATCAAAACATGACCTTTCTGGACAGAAATGTAAAATATGGACCAATAGCTCACTTTTTATGTCTAATAATCTTGTTTAATCCCGCCGCTTTTCACAGCGCCAAACAACAGAATTTTGCATGCTCAAACTCTAGTGTGACTGCAGCTTCGGTGTGGGATGAGTTTCAGCAACTCCTCAGACCTTAATAAACACATGAAGACCCACACTAGAGATAAACCATTAAATGCACTCAGTGTGGGAAGAGTTTCAACCGATTAGCAAACCTTAATGAACACATAAAGATCCACACTGGTGTGAAAGAGTATTTGTGCTTTGAGTGTGAGAAGACTTATTTCAAAATTTAAACTGCACCCGACGTTTCACACTGGAGAGACCGTACAAGTGTTCACAGTGTGACAAAAGGTTTAATCAGTAACACATCTGAAAACACAAAAGAGGATTCACACTGGAGAGAAACCATACAGTTCTGATGAGTGTCTACAGAATTGGACAAAAGTTGCACACATGACATAAGTGCAGCAAAACATTTTCTCATGTGCACAGGATGTTTCATGTCTGAATAATGTTTGAAAAGGCTGAGTGACGATATATTGTTTTCCAACAATCCTACACTGCAGTATCCTGTGTTTACCTGTGTTTACTCTCTTTGCAAGTGATTGTACAGGTGCGGATACATCTGTACTCCACTCTCTAGTGTATTCATGTAGCTAGTGTTGTTTTGGATGATGTTCTCTGTCTGACTCCCTGAATGAGTAACATCACTGGAAAATACACAAATAAATAAAGATAAATTATGAATATTTGATGATTTAGGCAGAGCGACAGGTATTAAGTTTGACAATATTAATACACTTTGATGATCCCAAGACTCCAGATTGGAGTATGTGGTAAATCCTGATTGGATGCCTGCATTACTCATCTATGGGTATATAAAAGTTGTTGTGCTAGGCTGCTAGCTAATCCAGGACGCTGTGGCTACTCAGGAGTCCTCCTGTCAAGACCTGCCATCTCATTAAATCTTTAACCTTATGGTTTTGTTTTGCATTGCTTGTATCATGTAGTTAACATGTTGTTGTGATTATATCCTAAGTTCTTTATCTTCATTATTATCCCTAGACATTTGTTGGTTGCTTTGATTGATTGTTCTATGAGTTACATTTTATAATAAATAATTTGCATTCAGGCTATTTTGTTGGCTCATCTCTCTTTTATGTTGCGACTAAAACAAGCCCCAGATAGCATACAGTTCTGGGCCACATCTGGGCCAACTAAGGCACATATGGCTCACTTCTGGCAATGGCAGGAGACATATGGGCCAGATGTGGCCCGTATGTGTCACAACGGGTGTAGTGTGAGTTGTGGCCTGCTGTATGTGGGCCAGATGTGGCCCGTATGTGTCACACCGGGTGTAGTGTGAGTTGTGGCCTGCTGTATGTGGGCCAGATGTGGCCCTTATGTGTCACACCGGGTGTAGTGTGAGTTGTGGCCTGCTGTATGTGGGCCAGATGTGGCCCGTGTGTGACACCCCGGGTGTAGTGTGAGTTGTGGCCTGCTATATGTGGGCCAGATGTGGCCCGTTTGTGTCACATCTGGTGTAATGTGATCATTTGAAGTTGATCAAAACCTTTAATCTAAACATTTTAAAACAACTTCACAAAAAAGTGCCTTTGAGACATCAAAAATAAATAAATAAATAAAGTTTAAGATTTTTTAATTTAACCACAAAGTTGTTGTATTATTTAGACATTAGACTGTAAGAAATGAATGTTGGTCAAGCTCCTGCACTTTTTACAATTAATCTACTAACAGAAAAACAGCAAACAAACCTCAAATTGTGTCAACACTGTCAAGGACAAATTCAAAGTGTATCTTCATTTCAGTGTGATTAATAAATGTGTATTTTCAGAAAGGTCATGTGTCCCTTTACAAACCCAACTTTATAGATTATTTAAAAAAAAACTATTCGCAATAATGAAATATTGGACAAAACATTAATTTTCAGATAAAATATGCAATCGTTGCACATAATTTTTAAAATATAAATCCAAGATTTAGAATATTTAGTCAAACTTTCAAACATTATTAACTGGCCCTTATTGGTTAATTAAGACATCATACAAGATGTTTTGCTGAGGTTATAAATAATTTGTTCATTTTCATAAAATTTGAACATACGTTGTCGTGTGACATTCAGCAACTGTGAGACAGCGTTCTTACTACTTGTTTTAATATTATTTTGTGGCAGTTTATCAATACTGCCTAGAATACAGGATACAGCAGTAATTCTATTAATATTAAACATTGTTCTTTTTTTTCCTTTTTAATTTAACAACTGCATGTGTAAACTTTGAAGTATAAAAATTCCACACAAATGAATATAATCAAACTTTTTATTATATATTTCACAACATTTAATACATACAGTGCACATCTAATATTATGAGCAAACAGTATAAAACAAAATATAGATTTTATTACACAAACACACACACACACACACATATATATATATAGAGAGAGAGAGATCAGAGCTTGACACCACAAGACTACTGTTGTGAAGAGTCAGAAGGCATTGAATCCATTTGCAAGCTTTATTAAAAGCACACATACATACAAACACAAAGGGGCAATCCAGGAGACAGAACGTGGGACAGGCAAGAGTTCAAAGGCAGGCAGATATCTTACTGGTCAGAATAACAGGCTGGAGATCAGGGGCAGGCAGATGTCTTTCTTAGTCGTAGAACAAGCACAGGGTCAGAAACACAGATGTCCGAAGCAGGGAGTATGGAACGCTCAGAAATGACAGCCAGGCAAATCAAGACTTCGCAAAGAACCAGAGCGTGAGTGTGGTATATATACACGTGAGTTGATGATCTGCACCTGGACCGCAATCAGTGCCAGGAAGCAGGGCTTATGGGAATTTGAGTCCGTGAGTCGAATTAGAATTCAGGCGATGGCTCCCTCTGGTGGTGCACAAGAGGATTGGCATCGCCCTCATTTACAACAGAACCCCCCTCCTGCGAGCGGCTCCTGAAGCGAGAAGGCACCTGACGCCGGGGTCTACCGCGCTGTCGGGGGGCTGGTTTCTCTGGAAACCTCTGATGAAACTCTTCCGTGAGAGTTGGGTCTAGGATATCCCTAGCATTCACCCAGGACCGTTCCTCTGGACCATACCCTTCCCAGTCCACCAGATATTGGAGGGCGCCACCCCGGCGTCGAGAGTCCAGCACTTCTCGAACGAGATAGGCTTCTTCGCCCTCGATCATGACAGGTGAGGGGGTCCTGGTTTCCGATTCCTCCTCAGCCGCCTCCTCTCGTGGACCACCAGCGGGTTTGAGTAATGACATGTGGAAAGTAGGAGAAATACGATAATGATTAGGCAAGGCTAAGCGGAAAGACACTGGAGTAATCTGGCGTAATATTTTGAATGGCCCTACATACCTGGGACTGAGTTTGCGGCAGGGTAATCTCAGAAGAAGGTCTCGTGTCAACAACCACACCCACTGCCCTGGTTGATACGTGGGTCCCTGGCGTCGATGACGGTTCGCCTGAATCTCTCTCCTCCTGACTGCCCTCATGAGATGTCTGTGAGCCTGGTTCCAAACATCCTCACTCCGTTGCAGCCAATCCGTGACAGCAGGTAACTCAGTGGGTTCTCCGGACCATGGGAACAGAGGTGGTTGGTAGCCGAGAATACATTTAAATGGCGTAATACCCGTAGCTGGCTTTATCAATGAATTTTGTGCATATTCCGCCCACATCAGATACCGGCTCCAGTCGTGCTGTTGCTGATGACAGTATGAACGTAGAAATCGGATGACTTCTTGATTCATTCGTTCAGTTTGACCGTTGGATTGAGGATGGTACCCTGAGGTGAGACTAACATTAATATTTAGATTTTTGCAGAGAGCGGAGTTTGCAGCCAGCAGGGGTTTGATGAGATGCCTTCGTAGTTTGACAAATTTTACATTTCTGAACATAATTAATCACATCCTTCGTGAGAGACGGCCACCAGAAACGAGCTTTGACTAACTCCAATGTTGCCGTGATGCCTGGATGCCCCGAGCTGGGAGTGTCATGAACATGAGTCAGTAATCTGGTACGTATATTATTGGGTACAAAAATTAGGTGGTTCGGACAATCTACTGGGGGGTTATTTTCTCGGTTCGCCTCTTGGATCTCGGTAAGTATGTCCCACTGTACTGGAGCCACTAATAAGTTTGTAGGGAGAATGGTTTCATCACTAATTGTGGGTTTATCCTCTGATAGCCTGGATAGTGCATCTGCCTTACCATTCTTACTCCCTGGCCTGTAGGTGACAATGAAGTTGAATCTGGTGAAGAACAAAGCCCAACGAGCTTGTCTGGGATTTAGACGTTTGGCTGAGCGAAGATATTCCAGATTCTTATGATCAGTCAGGATGGTGAATTGCTGATTAGCCCCCTCCAGCCAGTGTCTCCATTCTTCCAGGGCTAATTTCATTGCCAGTAATTCGCGATTTCCAACATCATAATTTCGTTCTGCACTGGTCAACTTACGGGAGAAGAAGGCACATAGGTTCATTTTGGGTGGTTGACCCTGGCGTTGGGATAACACCGCCCCGACTCCTGTATTGGATGCATCCACTTCCACAATGAACGGTAGGTCTGGGTTGGGGTGACGGAGAATAGGAGCTGTGGTGAATTGAGTCTTGAGATCAGTAAACGCTTGACGTGCTTCGGAGGACCAGGATAATTTGTGGGAGCTTCGTTTGGTCATGGCGGTTAACGGTGCGGCTATGGAACTAAAGCCTCTGATAAACCGCCTATAGAAATTGGCAAAGCCCAGAAATCGCTGCAACTCCTTGAGATTTTGGGGTAACGGCCATTGTTGGACTGCCTGTACTTTTGCGTCATCCATAGTAATCCCTTCTGCACTGATGACATAGCCCAAAAAGGCGATCTGTGTCTGGTGAAACTCACACTTCTCTAATTTGGCGTAC